ACGTGGATACGTTGGAAATGAAATGAGCGATATAATTATGATAAAATCGAAAACAGGTAGTACGCCTAGCGGTGAATTTTTGTAAATTAAAAACAGAAAGGACATCTAGTGATTTTATTGAACATTATATTTTAAATGTAGGTATAGAAAACTATTTTAAATGTTATTTGTTTATATGATAATCAGTGGAAATAACTAAAACGTAATTATTATTATTTGATTAAATTATGATATATTTGACTTAAGTTTTTAATGTCAGTTTTGTCGTTACTACTGTTTTTATTTACTACAGTATTTAATACAGCTCCATAGTGATGAACAATATTCTTAATAGCAGGCTTTGCAATTACTTAAGTCGCAGATGACTGAACAAAAGACGAATATGTCAAATTTATTAGCTCAATAATGAAATTTACGTATTGTTCCTTAAGTGCACTGTCAAAAAGTATGACTCTGTAATTTAAAACGTTACAACATAAGATTGAAATAGTAAAACTTTGTGATGACAGAGACAGATCCGAAAGGGAAGTATCTCGAATTTTTAGTGATAGACATCCAGAAATTCAAGATATTATTAAGTCTACCATTGGGCGAGTGAGCAATATTTTTAATGAATACGGAGCTGTATCTAAGTACATTTAAAAAAATATTAGTGTACAACAGCCAAGAAGAAGCAATGAACAAATTCAAAATTATTTCACCGAAAATCCGAAAAAAAGTTTAAGAATTACTAGTTTGGACCTACAATTACCACGGGAAACCATAAGGAAAAAACTTAAAAAATACAATAATATGAAGCCTTTTAAAGCGACACCTTAAAAGACGAACGAATGAAATATTGCTTATAGTGCCAGGGAGAATACCCCAATTACAGAAATTTTCTAAAAAAAATTTTGTTTACTGACGAGGCAACAGTTACAACCAAAGGGACAGTAAATTCACATAACACGAGGCATCAGGCACAAGAAAATCCGAATGGGTAATAAACTATAGGCGACAGTATTCCCAGAAGGTAAATGTATGGTGCGGTATATTAAATACCAGAATAATTGGCCCCTTCTTTTCTGAAGACAATAGCCAAAGTTTTTTACATTTTTTTAAAATGAATTCTCAGATGCTATTGATTAACTTCCACTTGCAGAAGTGACTGGTCTACTGTTTCAATTAGATGGCTGTCCTATCCACAACGCCAGTACTGTGAGAGCGTGGCTGGAGGAAAATTTTCCTAATCGGTGGATAGGGCGAAATAGTAGATTAATGGAGTTTCCTTCCAGGGCTCCCGACTTAACTCCCCTAAATTTTTTTCTTTGGGGGTTCATTAAAGAAAAAGTTTACTACACTCGTCCAACGAATTACAACACATCAGTTGTCTAATGTTATAGCACACATTCAAAGACGATACAATAAATAATTTGTTTTTCTGTTTGTTTCATTGTATTTTGATATAAGGATGTCTATTAAATGTGTTATTAAATATTTGTTGTGATTGATTTGTTATCGCATGGGTTACTAGATAAAAAACTTCTTAATGCATAATAAACAATTTGACAGCAATTTAGTCATAGAATCGTTATTGTTGAATATTTTTTCAGGAAATTTGATACAGATCCATTTCAGGGGATGCCGAATCCAGTGGCGTAAGCAGATTTTTTCTAAAAAAGGATTCTGGATTTTTCAGCCTCTGAATGTGATCTAGTAGGCCTTAGTTTAAAAAAGAACTGGACGCCGCTTGGCCCCAAAATACACCTTTGCCCCCTCTACATTTCAAAAAAAAATTCGTCAAAATCGCTTCATAAATAAAAATATTATGAGGGTGGCCCGAGCAGGAAGGGTAGTCTTGACTGACTATTTTGGGATTGCAGTGTTCTTATTATATTAGCCCTTAGCACTGTTGACTGCAATCCCAAATACATCACTGGTTTATATATATATATAATATGGGAAACTTCTTGAACCTTTTGTCTTCTAATTGGGAAAATTAGTAAGGATTATTTCTCCGTTTGTATACTTTTTATTTATATCCCTCCAAATCTGTCACTAATTTATTTTGAATCATTTATTGACAGTTTAATGTTNGTGAGAAATACGTCGCTGTACACATTATTTTTTTGAAAAGGAAAATTGAATTTTCACGAAGGTGTCCCGCAGCCCATCTTTTAAATTTAGTTTATTGTACTTGTCTCTCGGTTACCTTTCAGTACTCTCAGAGGCATAAACGAGAAAGACGTCGTCGAACTTCAGTCTAATATCTCCCGGTCTATAAATGAGAATAGGAATAAGTGCATCATAAATCATAGAGCTTTAGGTACCTAACTTGTTTATTAGACAGTATCCTGATGTGGGGTTTTACCAGGGTTAGAAGTAGGTACACGACCAAGAGGGCAAATTTATCTTAGATCAGGCAAAGAAACGACATTATTAGTATGGGTTAAGTCTTGTTCCCGATCGGTCGTGCTGTCCTGTAAAGAAGCGTTCTATAAAGTTATATTGTTACACGTTGCGTTTTTCTTTGGATGAACTCGAAGCACCCATAAATTGGTGACCCCGACGTGATCTGCCATATAGAGAAGATAGTGTAGTTCAAGTGAACCTAAAAGTTTTTTTTCACGAAATGCCCAACAACAGTAACGATAGCGACAACACCGCCAGAAACCTCGCGGAAGGAACGGACAGTGCCGCCGTTTTGGAGTTATAAGGTAGGACTTTGGTTTTGTCAATTGGAGGCACAGTTTAGTATCGCCGGTGTAAGGCAGGACTCGACAAAATTCGGTTACGTCGTTGGAAATTTAGATAGCCGATACATCGAAGAAGTAGAAAATATTATTTGCAACCCACCTGCGCAAAACCAGTACAAGACTTTGAAAAGCGAACTCATCAAGCGTTTGTCAGACTCTAGCAGCCAACGAGTACGAAAACTGTTAGAAAGTGAAGAGTTAGGGGACCGCACACCTTCCCAATTTCTACGACATTTACGAAAACTGGCAGGTAAAAATGTGAACGAAGAATTTATAAAAACCCTGTGGATGAACCGGTTGCCGACGCCTACACAGCGAGTGCTCGCAGCATCGCTGCAACAACCCTTGGCCGACATGGCTGAAGTGGCTGACCGAGTACAGGAAATCGGACCATCGAGAAGCCAAGTATCTCAAGTGAATGTAAAGGAAGATGTGCCCGTCTCAATTCAAACACCCGCTAATAGCAAATTGGCTACCCTACGTGAAGAAATGCAGCAACTGCGTCTCGCTCTTCAGGAGATAAGAGCAGGAAAGCAGCAACGCCGCCGGTGGTCGCGACCACGAAGTCGTTCCCGCGACCAAAGCAATGCATACCACGCCGCTCGTACCACTGTGATTGACACTGTACCCCGCGAATTTGACTTCGCTGACACCGAATACGCACTTCGAAACTTTAATTACTAACCCGTACTCGCTGAAACGTTCGAATATTGTTTTTAAATGTTGCTGATGCTCTTCTTTGTCGCGCGATGCCACTAAAACGTCATCGATGTATGCGTAGCAAAAGTTCAGTCCGCGTAGGACGTGGTCGATAAATCGCTGAAACGTCTGTGCTGCATTACGTAAACCGAACGGCATACGCGGGAATTCGAACAATCCAAACGGTGTAGTAACAGCGGTTTTCTCTACGTCTTCTGGTGCTACGGGGATCTGGTGATACGCTCTAGTTAGATCTATCTTGGAGAATATTGTTTTACCGTATAGAGACTGTGCGAAATCTTCGATGTGCGGTAGAGGATATCGGTCTGGAATTGTCCTGGCATTCAAAGCCCTATAATGACGCATGCGTCATCCTTCGGTACCAGATGTAAAGCAGATGCACATGGACTTTGATGCGCGGATGATTCCTTGCTGTAACATCAGCTCGAAATCTGTTTTCGCTGACTTCAGACGATCATGGACCAAACGTCGAGGGCGGTAGAAAACGGGTGATCCGGGTGTTGTGGTGATATGGTGCACGACGTCGTGTTTAACTATTTGGCCCGCTGTTCCGGCGGGTCGCGTAATATCGAGGTATTCGCTTAGTAAACAAGAAAACTCCGATACTACTATTACCGTTTTTATGGACTGCACTTCGCTTAGTACGTTTTCTCCTTTCGACTCCAGCAAAGTCGTTTTGTCTATGAGACGTCGCGCGCGGACGTCGACCAGTAGACCGTAGAATGCTAAAAAATCCACTCCGATGATGGGTCTGTCTATGGCCGCAATCACAAAACTCCACTTAAAACTACGTCGAAGTCGTAGATCGAGGTCTAATGTCACCATTGTGGGAATCGGCGTTCCACTCGCGGCGTATAGCGTATAGTCGCTCCTTCGGTTGCGATCGCTAGTTCGCGTGCGCGGATACACACAGAGGTCAATACCAGTGTCTAACAAAAAGGAAACTTTTAATCTCGCGTCGGTGACGAAGATTCGGCGCGCTGTGTGGCCGTCGTTGATAACCGCTATCAACGGCGGGCCTATTCATTTCCCTGAGAGTATTTGCATGGCGCGCGGCATTTTTTAGCGTTAGCTCCGAAACGATGATGGTACCAGCACGTATCGCGATCGCCACTAGTACTACGTCCCCTTGCATTGCTTTGGTCGCGGGAACGACTTCGTGGCCGCGACCACCGGCGGCGTTGCTCCTTTTCTGCTCTTATCTTCTGAAGAGCGAGACGCAGTTGCTGCATTTCTTCACGTAGGGTAGCCAATTCGCTATTAGCGGGTGTTTGAATTGAGACGGGCACATCTTCCTTTACATTCACTGGAGATACTTGGCTCCTCGATGGTCCGATTTCCTGTACTCGGTCCGCCACTTCAACCATGTCGGCCAAGGATTGTTGCAGCGATGCTGCGAGCACTCGCTGTGTAGATGTCGGCAACCGGTTCATCCACAGGGTTTTTATAAATTCTTCGTTCACATTTTTACCTGCTAGTTTTCGTAAATGTCGTAGAAATTGGGAAGGTGTGCGGTCCCCTAACTCTTCACTTTCTAACAGTTTTCGTACTCGTTGGCTGCTAGAGTCTGACAAACGCTTGATGAGTNTTAATTTTTAATCCATCACGCTGAGGATGATAACGACAAGGCTATCACAAAGAGGATAATGTCTGAAGATAAGGTGACGAGAGGTGACAACACACTGAAGGCGTAACAGCTCGGCCACCTAAAGACAAATGAAAGGATGCAATCACCTGGAAATGATTAAGTAAGTTACTGAATTATTCCCATATTATGTAGCTTGTTGATAAGTCACTACAGAGACAATGTTCTTTAGTCAAACGACACTCTTCGATATAATAGCGTAAATCATTTACAACTTTGTCGGGATCGTCTCCGCTCTCTCTTATTCTAACACATCTTTGCTGTTCTCACAATCTGTTTCTAATTGTGTTTTACATAACGATTATCTGGATAATCGTCAACACCACACACATGTTAGACCTTTTACTTCTATTTTAAATATCATTCTAATTTTATTTTGGATTTTCAGGTAGTTCCAGAGAACCCATGCTGAACGTACAGGAGGCCAAGATACGTGGAGGTCAGGTACCACATGACAACTCGTACAAGCACATTTGTTCAATGATTTGTAAATTTCTGCAATGATTTGTAAATTTCTGAGTAATATGCCATATGTGGTTCCTTCGAAGTATACCTTGTAAGTTTGTATGGAGTCTTACATGCACTTCGATTGACACATACTGGATAGTATAAATCACACACTCGGGATGCTTACTAGTTGGTGTCCAGCCTCAACTCATTTCGGGTAACACTAGTTGTTGAAGAACGAATGATACATATTTGCTAATTAATATAATGGAAACGTATGAAAGGATGACAAATGAACCCCGGCTGTTGTCGTGCTTTGTGATGACCCATGTATAAAGGTAACAATACCATTTGTTATCTCTCTCTTTCTCTCTCGTTCTAATATTAAACTAGTACCTATTGAATCTTAATTTTTAACAGCTTTAAGAAGCAGTCTTAATAAATGGTGTACACAGAGATTTTCTTTCTCATTCCATGCCTCTCCTCTAGGTACCTACATTCTTCAGACCACTTCAGAAGCAGCAGCAGTCTACAGGATGTTCTTAAAGAAGCGACATGACAACTCTTAAAAGGTTTTTATATCTGTTGGTTTGTTCCTTAATACGTTCTCTGCCTGAACTTTTTTCAATATAATTTGCTATTTAAAAGAATAAGTAATTAGCATTGGTCACATGGGCTTTAATATGAACTTGACACGACAGTATTAAGATAATAATAACAACGGTTTCTATTAAACTCATTTCCTAAATAGCATAGAATTCTTCT